GCCCTCAACCTGCATTTCTGAGTCTCAGCTGAAAACGTTTTGTGGGAACAGTTGTGATTATTGTCTTCCAAATTCTATTGCTACCAAACAAGTCTTTGCAACCAAAAAAGCTACGGTAATTTTTAAAGACTCTTGAAATGTCAGTGTGTTAATTTACAGTAAATGTGACATTTGAAAGAAGCATCTTAGCATGTTTCATTTTTTCTGATGTCTTTGTTACATTATTCACCTTTGCTATAAATACTTACAAATAATGTAATATGATACTGTTTTTGACAATTTTTATTCTGATTTAGGGAACTCTTATTTAAGCATATGATAAAGTTTATCCTAGATTGAATTATGGTATACTGTGAGCTTACATATACACCCTGAACAGAAAGTCCAGAAACAACTCCATTGAGGTCTGCATTCTCTATATATGTTTTCCATAGTGAGTGTGCATGCTGATCTTGTTATACTTGGAATGAAGGCATCCCATTATCTCTCACTTTACCTTTAAAGCAGGTGAAGCCTTACCCTCATATTCATCTTTTCATTAGAGGAATATGATCCATAAAAATGTCTCCACACAAGAATAGTTCTCGGTAGCTGTGGAAAGAAGGGGTAGCTGAACTAGTAATTTCAAAATTTTCCTTGAGTGCAGAGGAAAAGTTATTATATCTTCAAAGCACAGCACAAAGAGCAGAAAAGCAAAATTAAACCAGTCAGGTAATTTTATAACATGATGAAATGTGAATTAGTTAATTCCATTCACTACTTCAGAATTCTGCTTAAACTTTAAAAAGACAATGTGGAGGTGCAAAAGAGAAGAGATGCCTTATGCTTGTGCAAAGCTATTCATATGTTCCACTTCAAATGAGTTATTTCAGTGTCATGTTATAAATACATTTTATGGAGACTCAATGGGCAAAAAAATCACTCTTCTTTCTGGATAGTGGTAAACTATCTCTATTTCAGAAGTTCCTGTGCCCCTTGAGGGCACAGTTTGACTGCTGAAGTAGCAGCCTAACTTCCCTGGGTTTAAACTCCTTAAAACAAATAAAGGAAAGCTCAGTGTATTTAAGGTGAGCTAGCATTAAATTCAATTTTCCTTCATATATTAGAATGTAATTTGCTGTAGTTCAATAGCTGTCACTTGAGCTTCTCAGGAGTACCAGCAAGAAGTGCATACCAAGCAGCACAGAGTGTGAGCCCTCAGGTCTTGGTTGACAAGGCTTGTGGTACTCTAAGTCCAAATTATGGATATCTTCTGCTGTAATTTTTTTTTCCTTTACAAGATATCAACATTCTGTATTATCATAAATATCTGAGTAGGCACTGGTGTATAAACAAGCTGAAACAAACAAGAATTGAAGGTTTTTTGGCATTTAATAGCCAACATTGCTGCAGTTTTGATGATGTCCACAAGATTCAAGTCCAGAAACAGGAGATGCTGTTTTAAACTGAATTTCACTTCTTTTATTTTAATTACACTCTATTATTTTAACTGCAGATTTATTGAAGTGTCACCAAGTGGAGTTTCAAAAGTGCTGAAAGGTTGTGGTGCCATAGTTGCTAACATATGAAATCTTCTTTTTTTGGCAGATTTAATTGTACCGGAAGGTTCCCATATAGATTGTTGCTGTGTTTAATGAAGTGTGCTGTGGAGAATTTTTCTTGGACTATGCACTGCTGTTGTTAAGGGAGACTGAAAATAGTTGTCAGTTCTCAATCAAAATTGCCCTAATTTTAATAAGAACAACTGTGTGTGCAGTTTAATTGTTTGCTATCAGAGTGCCTAGCAGCTTAGGTCAGAATCAATGTCAAGAAACTGACAACATTAATTGTGGAGATAATTTGTGTCAAACCTTAATTAACAACCTTTATGCAGGTAAAGGCAACAAATACTGCTTTTCATTTTTGGTTCTGCTGGGTTATGGTTTCACACACTCTTACACTGATGGTGGTGACTTTATTTGTAATGAGATGAACGTGTTGATTGAGTAATGAAAAGGTGGATTGCATAATACCTATCTATCTCCATGACTGGCTGGCTACAATCACCATAGTCTGAGCATCAGTCCACCATAAATGAATCTATCCTCACACCTATTTAACATGCAGAAATTTTATCCTTCTGGTGGAGCTGCAGAGCCTGAAGTAGAGAATTTAGCTGGTTTGCCAAACTAAATTTTATTTTATTAATTTAATGATGACCTGCTGAAAATGGCCATTGCATGCATTGAAATATCTGAAGCGTATACAGGCCTGCTGTAAGTTTCCTGTGCAGATAAATTTATCTGTGTTCTAAAAATAATTTGCCTTCTCTGATATCATAGGATACCTCAAAGATAGTTACTTACTTTCAAGATTAGGTACTGGAGAAGAGTTGTGGTAATGTTTTTTTACTGGAATACCTTGTGTAAAAGGAAGCTTGATCAGCCACATACTTTTTGTTTCATTTTTTCAGCTAGATTATGATCTAAGTGAAACATAAACATCACTGTCGTTACCTGCTGTACTGGATTGTGAAGCTTTTTTATTGATGGAAATAGTATTAGTCTCTACATACAATAACATACTTATAATACAACCTTAAAACCTTGTTTTTCTTGAAAAATGTCTACAGATTGGAAATTTAATCATTACGTTAAACTGCACTTGTCTTTTGCCTCTAATACTTTGTAGCAAGTGTTGTTAATTAGCAAACAACAGCTTTAGTAATTGTTGGTCCAGCAAAAATTCACATAGGACTGCAAAAATGGTCTTTTCCTGGTAGCTGAAGCCTTTCAGTCCTATTTCTGCAGCTCCACTATGTGGATAGAGCTCTGCAGAAGCTAGTAAGCAATTTTCTTAAGGAGTCATGGCAGTTAGAGTCCTTTTCCAGGTTTGACCCAGTTCTACATAAGAAAGTGTCAGAAAACTGGTTGTGCCACTAACAACAATAAAGTTTGGTGGAAAATATTTAGTTTCTTGTATTGCTATGTGGCCTATTTGCTGCCTGTGAGCTAGTGTACATAGTTACTCTGCGCTGTTGGACTTTCTGATAAAGTGTTTCCCTTTTCCTGGTTTGAGTTCTAACACTGAATTCACAAGATGTCAAAAAAAGAAAGAAAAAAGAATGTCAGCTTATGATTTTTTACTTGATGGCACAGAATCACAACTTCTGCCACAGAATATCAGTATATCAGATGCAATCATGTCTCTTCACATATCAGAGTGCTGAGTTAATACAGACATAGAAAGAAATTCAAAGCTAGCGGTTTTGGTGAAACCCAGATGCTCTTCATCAGAATAAATTTCCATCTTTTCTGTGGTCCAGGCATAAAGCCTATGACTTGGGAAAGTATTTCTAGTTTCTTTGCTCTAAGTGTGTTTTGTTTGCCATGGTTTTGGCAATTTTTGACAACAGAACAGTTCTTTCATAAGTTCCCCAAGGCAGTAGTGGCACACTACTTTGCTCTGCTCAGATTTGCACTTGCATTTGGGTTTAGGTACATTTACACCCTGAAAAATGAGTAGAGTTCAAGGACCCTTGAGCATTCTGAAAAGTTGAGAAATAACAAATTTTCCTGAAATCTCTATTAAAGAAAAAACCTTGCAGATTTCAGTAACTTTTATTTCTACTGCATTTTTTTAAAAATATAGCATTTTTATATTAAAGGTAGGGTAAAAAAACCCTCATTTAATTTTGTAAACTTAGGATGATCTGCATTGTCTCATATTTAATAACAGGCGTAGTGAGTTTGTTTTATAATAACGATCACATCATATTTTCTTGGCATTTTAAATAATTTCAGGATTCTTTCCAGTGTTGCATACATGCATAATTGTAGGCTGCTGGGTTTCTGACATTTAAGTAAACATACTGACAAGAAATGCTGCCTGTGGAAAGACCAGTTTAGCAGAGTAAGGGGTCAGACATCAGAACTGAAGAGCAGCAACTTAGAAATGAAGACTAGTACAGTACAGGTACATACCTGTCAGGACTAAGAGAGGAAAGTGAAGAGAAGGGAAGAGGTTGGAAGCATGAACGGGCTGACTGCTGATATTTGAAGATGAGAGCAAAAATCAATTGCAACATCTGCTAAAGGGCTACTACTACTGAGAAAGACTGTGTAGCGAAGACCTGGATTTTTCATAATTTAATGTTCCTAAATACTCACTTCAGTGTATTGAAAGTGTATTGGATCTGTAAAAATTTCTTGGCTTAGGAAGAGAATGATGCAAATATTTATAGGAATTCTTCAATATTCTTCTTTCGTGGTTAGATGTAATCCGATAGATTTTAATACTAAGTCTTTGGTAGTCATGTCTTGTGTTTGCCTAAGTTCAAAAGTTTTGTCTCAAGACTGATAAATTAATTTTAGTTGTAACTAAAATAAAACAAAAAATAATTAAAATCCCTTTTCATACTTTTTCTCTCTCCTCTTCTTGCAATAGTTGTATCTTTATGTATTCTTTCTGACAGAGTAGTGTTTGGAAGTGAACAGGAGCTATATGTGAAACTGTGCCCAAGCATAAATCTCCCTGCTGTTACAGTCTTTTTTGCATGGACACTTAATACATAGTAATTAACCTCCACCACTGCAAACTTAGAAAGACTTTCTCCTAAATGTCACTGATTTTAATGTTTCAAAGTTGAGAATCGTGTTTTCATGACGTCCTGTGATCATAACATCAAGTAATGAATCACGATATTATTCCAGTTGATTGATGAGCTCATTTTGCAACAGAAGACAAATTGGATTTTTTTATTTATAATGGTGATAAAATGTAATGTGTGATCTTGCAATTCTGACGCCATCAGTTTTCCGTTTTAATACAAATTTCACTAGTAAAATCTGTAAGTACTTTCTTGACCTTTTACAGTTCTTTTAGTGCTTTCTCTTGTAGGTGAATGCTATCACTGGAGAAACAAAGCTTTTCCTTCTTTAATTCTGAAATCTTAACAGGACCTATTTTTTTTTCTTTATTAGATTAATTTGATTTTTTTGTTGTTGTTGTTGTTGTTTCAGCACCACCAAAGTTTACAAGAACTCCCGTTGACCAGACAGGGGTTTCAGGAGGAGTTGCCTCATTCATCTGTCAAGCTACAGGAGATCCAAGACCTAAAATTGTCTGGAACAAAAAAGGAAAGAAAGTCAGCAATCAGAGATTTGAGGTATTAGGTCCATTGTTCTGTTCCTCTGAAAAACATTTTATTCCCACCTCCCTTCTATCTCAGTATGTGTGCTTTATTATTAGTGACTTAGCAATATAGCTGTGACTATAGGGCATAATTTAGAGGGAGCAGTCTTCTGAAGTTTTTGTTTTCTGAACTTATTATGCACAGCACCATGAAAGAGAAGACTGCTACTGGGATTTTCTAAACTAGCATGATGTAGCTGAGGAACTTTGAGGTGCTTCTCTTCAGTTTGCTATCTCATGAAGGAGTTGGTGGGGAAATTACTTGAGGATTGGTAGCTGTCTCCAAAGAGCTAGCCACCTGCTTTGTGACTGTGTATCAGGCAGGCCTAGGCTAGTGCTGCTTCTGTTGTCACAGTTGCTTACCACTGTTTCAGAGGGAGATGAAAGGGGCATTGTAGCTCCTGCTGCTGAAGAGGAAATGTAAAACTTGTTTACTTTCAATACTTTTCTTAGCAATAAATTAGGAAAAGGCTTACAAAAAGCTGTTTCTCTCCACAGCCTTCAATTAACGGAAACAGTGAAAATAATCTGTTAATAGATTCTGTTTATTTGGGAGAAATAAGAAAATAAATATTATTCCCTCTTGTAATGGCAGGAATAATTAATATGAAATACGCTTTGACATTTAACATGAAAAATAACCTCAGAAGATGGAGGGAAGCTTTTAGAATAGCTAACAAAACTGGAGCTAAGAGTGTGCAGTTTTCACAATTTTCTATGGTAAATAAGAGACCTCTGCAGTAAGCAAACCACTGTTTGGAAGATTACTAATTTGTATATAAAAAAGTTGTGACATGCATGTCCTGAGTAAATAGTCTAAGATACATGTATTAAAAACTGACTGAATATCAAAGTCTTCTATGTTAACTTTTAGTAGTGTTTGTGAAGATTGCTTGCCCTGGCGTTCAGGTTAAATTTATTCAGACGAATGGCATTTCCTGTATAAACTAAATTTCTCTTGCTCACATTTGTTCAAAAAGTATTTAAAGGCATTGGAATTTGTTCATTAACCAGTATAATTATTGGCTTGTGTATTTGCTACAACGTGAAAAATAAATACATGAATTTAAATGTACTTCCTAGTGCCAAAAGCTGTTTGTGCTTTGCAGAGCATATGCATTGCTGTAATTGGCTAGAGGGATTAACATAGAAATTTTATCATAAATTCTACACAATTTGTCCCCTTCTGTTCACAAAACTTTCTAAATAGAGAAAGATGGGGCATGTATATGTTTACTGTGTTTTATTTTGCAATATGTCATGGTTTATTTGCTTAATATATTGTTTTCTGTGTACCTGTTTTTAGAGAGAATAAGCAAAAATAAAGTAGTTTTATTTCCATTAAAATACTTAAATTGAACTATAAACAATAGCTTAAAATGTCTTAAAAATGCTTTTAGTGGACTGTTGAGCAGGCTGTGTAGCCAAGTAATATGGAATGCATTTCAAAGAAATAGATAACATTTTCCAAATGTCCTATAATTTTTATTATGACCACTGAGCACAGCAAATCAATATTTTAAGCATCTCTCCTTCTTGTTCAAAGTAAGGCCATTAATTCATGCCATGGAATCTCAAAATAAGAACAGAACACAGGTAGAAATGAGGTTCAGAAAAGGCATATGAAACATTTGGGTAACAAGAAATGTCTGAGATTGTCAGCTGCACCAATAAGAGAATAATTAGTTTGTCTACTTTTCCTCTTCTTTTGTATTAATATTTTGTATATTTCTCTGAGTGTAATTACTTAGTAATACAAGACATTAAAATGTTTTACCTGGACATCTGTCTTCATAGAAGCCTACCAAATACAGCTGTAAAGGACTTAACTGGGCTGTCTAATCCACATGCTTTCACAGGGGTGTTGGGGTTTACTTTCACTTTTATCCTCCAATGAACTTGGGCAGTCTCCTATACTTTTTGCTGGAACTTGATGTACATAGCAATTGGGAAACATATAGTTTATTTCCTCTCTCTTGACTGTTCGCATATTCAAAGAGTATTATAGTTGAATGATCTCACTCACAGGCTAAATCACACAACTTAGTGAGACTAGCAGTGACAGCTATACATTGTTTCTGAAATTAAAACCTACACTAAGATCTTGTGGATCTTCTCTTAATCTTTCATCTTTTATTTATATTGGAGGTACATACCATGAATGAACAGGATACAGGAGGGTTCCTTTTCTCCTCGTGCTTCAAATCAATTCAAGTAATAGGAACTAGAAAAATCTACTATAAGTTGCTGAGAAATCTGTCTCATAGGTACTTAAATAGAAACAATGAAGGGAAGAAAAAAGTTTTAAAAATTACATCATTCTACCCTGTGTACAAGGATGCTTTTATTAAAAAATCTCTGCTTGGAAAAAAAAGTAAAATCATTCAGTTGATAGGGAAGTGTGAGGAATTAACTAGCTGTGGTATGCAGGGAGAACTCATCACATGAAAAATAAATCTGTTTTATAATACGTATTTTTGAGACATCAAGCTTGAAACTGCAATATTTGCTTAAACCAATCTGCTGCAATTGGCTTTATTGACTGTCTAGATAGGTTGATTCAGTGTTCAGGTTTAAACAATAACAATTACTTCTTCTAAGTGTAATGACTGTGAGTATTTGGGTCCCGTGCTTACGTTTATCTATGAATTGTTAGTATGACTGCTTAAAGACTGTGAAATTTTTCTTTTCCTCAAAAATGTCAATTTATCAAGAATTCTACATATTGTTTTGTTTGTACTAAGATCAGATGGAGATTTTTGTGTTGTCTAGGTTTGTTTAGGGCAATGGATTTAATGCATGCTGTCAAACAAATTTCTTCTCAAATAATGACCAGGTTTTTATCCTATTTTCAACTTTCACACTGCTAAGCAGAACCTGAGCAATTCCTACAATCAGGATGGGAAGATACAGGGCATATTACCATAGTTTCCAACCCTGTACTTAATTTCTCTCTTGTTCTGAACAAGTATCTAGTAGATCTAGTGGATTCCTTGTGTGTAAATTAGACAGAAAACCACGATCAGATGTGCAAATAGGCATATATGTAAATTGGTTTGTGCATATGTATAGAGATTATAGACAAATATTAATTATACTGTAAAGACATTAAAAATAAAATTTGTGAGTATCCTTTCTTGATAAATGCCGTTTACCTGATGGTTATAATAATAGATATCATAGATTTTTTTTTTAGAAGTAGATTAAATAGATTATTGTAATTGCTTAATTATTAAGAAGGCTTTTCCAATGCTTGGAATGCTGCAGTACTCACCAATATCTGATGTGATTCTCACTGCAGAACAAGAAGGAAATAAGAGCTGTTTATTGAATTCTTTCTTATATGAAAGTTAGTATTTCTTGTGTAAATATTGAAATTTTAAAACTAACCCTTAAAGTTTAGCCTTATTGTTTAGTCTCTTAAATGGCCACATGCCTTCTAGTACATTGTTGGATAAATTTGCTTATGTTCTGTGGGCTAAATGCAAGACTGAGTTGTCCTGTCTTGTTCAGAAATTGCAAACGCTTTTTCACTTTGAAGCTAAATGAATGAGTGAACTGCACTTTGTTAGTAGAGAGGGAATATAGCCAGCAGCAATTAAAACAAATGTAACTGGCATTTGAAGGTAGAGTACTTTAGCTAAGAGAATGGTGAACTGCAGAATAAAAGAGCATTACGTTACAGAACCTTTTCTTACATCCCTTGTTAGCTGGGTTGTGTTTTGTTTTGTTGGTTGGTTGGTTGGTTTTTGTCCTGTCTTTTCTTGAAGCAATATTAGAGTGGCCCCTGAATACCCACTGAACAGTGATGTATATTGCAAGGCCTTGCCACTTAAACATTTTCCCATCTGTGTGGAATTTGTCCTGGCACATATATTTGAAAAACGAACCTGGCTTTGGTGACTTGAATAACAACAGGCCACTGTTCATTAACAGATTAACTGAGGGATAGGCATTTGTAACAACATCTGTGACAGCTTTTGTTTCCTTTTATAGGTAATAGAGTTTGATGATGGATCTGGATCAGTTCTCAGAATACAACCACTGCGCACGCCACGAGATGAAGCTATTTATGAATGTGTGGCTTCCAATAGTGTTGGTGAAATAAGTGTGTCCACGAGACTCACTGTTTTACGTGGTAAGTTCTTCCTTAACATAGCTAATTTACTTCATAGAGCTCAAAGTACTATGATGTTGTAGAATAAGGTTTATCTCCAGGAAAGTTAAATACAATTCTTTTCAAATGGACCTTACTGTAGCCCTGATACTGTTCATTGCAAACTTTCTCACATAATACTTGAATATTGTGTTTGTGACTTTTGACCATAAAATGGTAATGTGAGTGTGCAGGGTATGACAGATTACAGTGAAGAAGAGAAGAAATAAGTGAAACAGGAGTGCCACACACAACGGGTTATTATATCAATTACTGCTCAAAAAAACGCTTTATGAATGCATTTGATTTACATTTTAGTGCTGCCCTAGGTAGCTTAGCTTTGTGTGATCAGCATTTACACAGAAATATGGCCAATTAACGGTGACCTTGAAAAGTTGCATGAGCGGTTTCTGGATGAGGTTAAGCTGCTGCGAAGTTTCCCCCACAAGATATAATCATTAAAAAAGTGAAGGCTACTTCCACTTCAAATATGCATCACCTGAATTGTATTCTTACTTCGGCAAGAAGTTTTCAAAAACAGTAAAGGAAAAAATTAATTTTTTTCAACTATCATTCAGGGGTGAGGATATTAATGTACTGCCAAGTCTACTGTCTAGATAACATTGGGGGAAGAAATGCTAGTAATCAAACAACTTGAATGTTTCATTTTGTCACATGGAGATGAATGGACACTGGATTTGGAGATACTTCATGAAATATTGTACTCCTCAGTTGACAGGGTTGCTTTTATGACTGAAAATTATTGTATTGTATTTTGATATTACATGGCATTACATGGTTTGCTGAATTAACTGCTAGGTGCCTGTTTATAGGAAATGAAGATGTTTAAACAGTTTTACAGAATTTAGAAGAAAATTTTTGAAATATGTGATTGAAATAATTTTATTTTGTTCCTTCTATCCCAAGCATTGTAAGGTGACAACAGGGGTTTCTTTTGTCCTGTTTTTCCATGAAGTTGGATTTTTATCCCCCAAAATTTAATAATTATTTCTATAATTTAATGTCTATTTTAGTCAGTACAGTCAGTCCTGGCATTACTGTTGGAGTCAAGTAACAACACCGTGTGCATATATATCAAGTAATAACCATAAATCTATACTACTTTTTTCTTAGAGATAGTCTGATATAAGCAAAGTTTTCTAATGTTTAAGTTCATATCTCTAATGCTATGATTGTTCCTTCAGTTGTCTTCTAAAAGATTCTTCCCAATCTAGCCAATGAAAATGGGAAGACTGATAGACTGATATTTTAACAGTACCATGGACCTGTTTGTAATTCCCTAAGATAAGGTAACAATCAGGACATTATAAGGGAGTTCTGGCAGGTTGAAATTTTGAATTGCTCTAAGTACAATGGCTTGCTGTGTTGCCTTCCAAGACAAAGGATAGTTCCACATTAAGGGCATTAGCCTGGAACATAAGTAATTCCATTATTACAAAGCCTCTGCTTTGCAAACTTGCACAAATCTTCACCTTGTAGAATCTGCAACAGTGGCATTGCGGAAAACACTCCATTGGATTATGCCTTTGTGGGAAGGAGTGCCTCTGTGTCTCGTATAGCTGCTGTAGGAATAAATATGTATTATAGTTGTGAACAGGAATTAACAGATTTAATCAAATGCAAAACAGAGTAGGTTGAATTGGATCTGTGGATCCACTTAGGCTTCACTTGTCCCTGGTGCATGTATGTGAATGCCTAATATGGACTATGGGTGAGATCAGGGTGATTCCAGGAGCAGAAGTGTCTACCTATACTCTTTTTATTGGATTGTTGGTTTCACAAAATGAAGCTTAACTGCTGCAAATCATTTCTACATCACAGAACAGCAACATTTTTGCTGATATGTATCTTTATGGCTATATAGATATATATATATAAAGATACATATGTCTACATCTTTACAGCCAAACTTCTCAGTTTTTCTGTGGCCATATAGAGTAACTGTATCTCTATGCTCTACAGATATTACCATGTTTCGTTAGGTTCATACACTATGGTCAATTTGTAGTAATTGAATCTGAAAGAACAATGAATATAAATATATTCCTTAGCTTTTATGTGTTAAAGGTTCAGTGTAAGGAGGAAAAAAGGGCAGAAGAGGCATCTACAGATGATACTATTTCAAGACCTTACCAAAGTATTGGACCTGTTTTTCTGTTACTACAGTAAATCAGGAAATGTTATAGGCTCAACTTTTACTTACTAGGCTGAATATTCTGAGTCTGCATGTCTGGGATAATTGGAAACTGCTTTTGATTTTCAGTGTATGAGGGAGTCAACTGCTTTCCAGGACAAATGCACCCACATGAAAATTTTGAATTTGAAGGGAAACAAGTCTTGAAAGAAGTCTCATAGTTGCCTTTCAGGCAAGAAGAGTCCATGCTATTTATTTTGGAGCTCTTTGTTTGAAAGTTTATGCTGAGAACCATATTAGTGTAACAGTGCTTTGATTCTTGTATTCAGATTTATCGGTGTTTAATATACATGCCTCTGTGGCTAAGAACGCCATGGGTATCCCGGGATGCAAGAGGAAGAGCAATGTCAGCAGGTCAGGGGAGGTGATCCTACCCCTCTGCTCATGCCTAGTGAGGCCACATGTGGAGTTCCATGCCTAGTTCTGGGTCTCCCAGTAGAAGGGAGACATTCTTGGAGCGAGTCCAGTGAATACCTACAAAGATGATTAGGGAATTGGAGCATCTTTAAAACTCTGAGGGAGGTGGGCCTTTTTACCCTGGGAAAAAGATGACTGAGAGGGGACTTCATCAATATATATAAGTATCTGAATGGAGGGTGTCAAGAGGATGGAGCCAGGCTCTTCTCAGCAGTGCCAGGCAATAGGACAAGAGGCATCTGGGCACAATTCTGTGCAGTGTGCTCTAGGATGGCCCCTCTTGGGTAGGGAGATTGGATCAGATGATCCCACTGGTGGTCCCTTCCAACCTTACCTATTCCGTGATATATGAATAGGTAATAAAAGACAATAAAGTGTAGGTTCTTTCTGTACTCTGTAGCAGCAGAGATGGAATAGCTTTCCTTTTATTGTCCATTCATTCCTTTTTAAAGCCACATTACTGTGGTTTTGGTCTTGCAGATGGTGGATAACAAACATATTTCCTGGCTATAGAGCAAGGGTTCTGGTGTAATATACAAGTTGTTCAGGAAGGGGGAAATGAGGTTCTTCCTTCTAATAGAGAAATCAGCAGCAATTCCATTAATTTTGGAATTAATGGAAATTAATGTTAATTTTAAGGAATCCCACTTTTCATTTTTTAAAAGATTTTTTATATTATTATTATTCCTTAAAAAAGTTCTACCAATGCTCTGAAGACATCAAGAAACTGTAGCTTCAACTGCTACTAAGGTATATGATTTCAGCACAGGAAAGTGTGGGTTTTAAGCCATGGCATAGATTAGAATACCGAAGTATATTCTAGTGTTGCTTCTGGTTTTTTTGCTGTCCAGAAAGTAAAGAGAGAGAGACTACAACAAGGTACTTAAGCAGAGGGCTGTTTGTCTCAGCCCACAGTTTTCTCTTATTATTGTTGATTGTACTCTGTGTTGTAAAAATATTGACATAGAGCATCTATGTAGCACAGGCACTATGTCAGGATGAAAGAAGTAAAGTAAAATTTCTGTGGGAAGTGCCTAGGTTAGTAATTCCTTTTTATGTTCTTTTGGAAGCTGATTCATTCAGTCTCAAACAGTAATTGCTGCATGAAATTAAATAAAAAAAAATGAAATATTTACTGACCAGTGTTGCCCTGTCCATTGTTAGACACAGATATTGAGACAATTGTGAGAGATTATTTTTACTAGACTCTTGGCAGAACATTTCCACAATGTTATAAACCAAACCAAATAAAACCCCACCAAAAACCTCAAAACCAGAGATGATAAATACAGTTGCTACAAGTTTTGTTTCTGCTACTAGCAATAGATTCAATGATAATAGAAGCTCATTTCTGTATTTTCGCTGTACTCAGTTGTACTGAAATGAGAAGGAACTATTTTGAAGTAATCTATCATCTGGGACAACTGTCTTTGAGGGCATCGAAATTAGGCAAATGGAGTGATACAGCTATAATGCTGGAAAACGTGCTGTGGGATATCTCTCATTTCTAGACAAATGAGAGAAAGGACCATACATATTCTGGATATTAGCTGCGCAGCCAGAGAAATTTGTCACGTTCCAGCTGGAACTGTATAAACGATGTACACCAGTGTCTATCTGAAACTCTTTGCTGTATAGTCACAGTATTATTGCCAGGGGGCTACTGGTAGGACAGGAAAGTAGAGTACAGGAAAACAAGGTAACCAGGAAAGTACCTGTACTTTATACTCCAGAAATACATTTATCTTAAATATAAATGGCATGACAAGACTTTGGAGAACCAAAGGAGTATCATTCTCCAAAACATCCTGAACTTTCAGTGTTCATACTCTATGTAGCACCTTGTGACCAGAATTACCATATTCATTATAGTCCTATTTTTATTAAGCCACTTTCTGAAGAGGAACAGTGTTGTTCCTCCTGAGAAAATGGTACCTTGCATTTTATGTTGTAAAGCCTCTCCTGGGGAGCTGTGCAAGGAGGATTAAAGAATGAAACACAGCTGCTTGACAGTCACACAAAAGGATTTTGTGAAATAGTGAAACAAAAGAAGAGGTATCCAATACAACCTAAGCTTCAAAAACCCCTTAGACACAGTTATAGAATGGTGTACAGATTTCTTGAAATGGCTTACAAAGTAATACAGAGTTAGAAATATTTATCTGTAATGTTAGGAACTATTCTGAAATATTTTCTTTGGCTATGCAAATACTATTTTGGGCAAGAAAACATTTACCTTCCATGCATGAATTATTAATCTTTATACAGATAAGGTGGTGACATTTAAGTACTAGCCAGAAGTGGATATAAAAGAAGATAGTCTTGTGAAATACACAGCCCACATTCCATG